CTGATGAGCCCCAAAAAGGGCGAAACCGGTCGTGGGCTGTCGACGGATTTTCAGCAACCTTATGAGTACTGCACTACGGAGGATGATTTCATCAAGCAATAGCATGAGTGGAAAAGCAGCCTCCTACAGAAGTCTGTGACCTAACTTCCAGCAATCCGCTGAAGATGGGAAAAATCAAGCGACATGGACTAATTTTATTTGGCTTTTTAGACGAATCTTTCGCAAACGTTTCGTGTCTTGAAGACTTGGACAGATCCGTTTTTTTGCCGCCTAAGGCGTGGGACTATGCTTCGTAATACCCGACGCACTGTGCCGACAGTAACATAATAAATCCTTACCATATCATCTGGTATTATGGTTCCATTTTAGGGAATAAAATTCGCGAATCCTCAAATGAATGCCGGCCAGTCGTGATATGCTCATGACACAAAACTCACCGTTTCGCTCGCTCAACTTCAAAATTGTCACTCAGAAATTTGAACAGCTCCTCAGATTCCTGTTCCATGGAGAATGGAATATAAAGCTGGGTTCGTTGAAATGATCCGTCCCCTTGTTTGAGTTAAAGTCGTCAGCGTATCATTGGCTCACTAACCTCGTTCCCTGGTTTATATCTCGAAGTAAACCTATCGGCACTCCCCATTTTATCGGCGGACTTTGATCTTGAATTTCTATTGAAGTCACATCTCGAAGTAAACCTATCGGCGCTCCCCATTTTATCGGCAGACTTTGATCTTGAATTTCTATTGAAGTCATTCGTTCATAACAAGCCATTTACAAGAACTGTCCAAATTGCTGCAACAATGGCTGCGCATTCCTTCGAAAGATTATTCATTTTTGTGGTTTCTGCTCAGCATCCGGTGTTGAATTTCCCAGTACTTTCGGCGGAAATGTCCTGCCCCCATTCAGCTGTACTTATTCCGATGGGTTCACACCAGTTTAGCTTCCGTTACGACTCATCACTAGTGCATACCCTTAAACTCCAGTCACGTGACATGCGAGACAAATGTGCTATCTCTAGTCCAATCGTGCACACCGAATGTTAATGTCCGATCAGGCGAACTTGTTCGTTCTTAAGCGATATATGCCCGATGCCCCAGATGACCCAGTAACTATACCGGTTGTGTCGATCGACTGACCCACCTGTCAGGACTTCCCATCCATGGCGCTTGAAACCTGCTAGGTGGTTGCCTGATAGTGTTTAGAAAACACCGCTCAGTTATCACCAGTTCACTCCGGTCCCTTGAATTGAACAAATCTTCCACTCCTAGCAGTGACCAGTCCCAAAGTTCCGAATCCCTCTCAGCAAAGAACGAAGATTTGAAAGCCGTGCACTAGTATTTCATGAATTATTACAAAACATCGGTTGTTGACCAAGTTGTATAAAAATGAACTACTGACACTTCATCCGTTTCATATGCAAATTGTATGGAGGGCAAGGTCAGTGTGCATTAGTCCCAGGTACTGAATTAAGCAAGATATAAAATATAGCGTAAGATGGTGATGAAACGGGCACACACACGATCTGGCAAAAAACGGTGAAAGTCCATGTCCACCATATAGAAGAACATGGTCCAGATGCATATATGGATCAAATAGTCGAAAATCCACGACATGAATTCCCGAATAAAGTGATAATCCATGATTGGGCTATTGCAAATGGTTGGCAGCCGAACATCCGGACAGCAGCCCGCACGCGGTCAAGTGGCGTTAGAATACGATCGATTAACAAAAGAGTTCGGAAGTGAGTGGTAATCAAACTCAGTGAAATGGCGCACGAATGCTTGCGTGTGCCGCGGCGTCTGGTCTGCTGCAAACGTGTTACGCAAGGAGCCACAAAGACTTAGGCAAAGTAAAAAGGAAGAGGGTTGGAGCATATATAAGTATTAAAAAAATAAAAGGGACCGTACAAACTACCACCTTACCTCATTCTCAAGAAGATCATCCCAGTAGATTGGCACATTGATTAATTTTGTAAGGAACTTATGGTTCTCTCAACAATGATCACCTATCAATAGGGACGATATCCAGAGAGATAGCAAACGCTCTATAGAGGTCATCTGAAATGCTTTATCAGAAATGACTTCTTTCAAATTTGGATCTCGGTAAGTAAAGAGACTTTATTTGATTGTAACCCCTGGAAAAACCACTTCAAGGCAACACTGTTTCAAACGGTGTTCTTTTTTTCACACAGGCACAGCTTTTGTTGATTACGCGAAATACTTCAAGAACTCAAGACCTCAGTATTAATGGAACAAACTTATCGCTTCGAATCCAACCTTTGCATCGAGATTGCTCATAAACTTGGGCAATCTGGCAGTATATCAGCCCACGTGCTTACGTCGAGTGTGGTGGACGCTAGGCACCAAGATGGTTCCACGACCGTTATATTTCGTGACAAAATGAATATTCTCTGTTATAGCCTGCCCCAACATGTAGCAGTATCTCAGAATGGATGTAAGAATCTTCAAAGAATCAGGCTAAATTTTTATCTTACCAGAGTCACGAAAGTTCGTCAAATTAACTGACCTTCAATATTGTCTGATGTATACTATTGTCTTCAGTTGTAAATGCTCACTCATTAATAGCACATGTATTTGACATTAACTTGAAAATTCCAGGAACTTGAACCCACCAAAAAGCGCACTGAAGGTGTCTCCACGGATGGTGATGTCCTCATCATCACCATCGACAGCATGACATGAGTGTTCAACAACGCTGATTCACTGCCGTACAACCATGATTTATTTGAAAGCCTCATTGTAGAGAGATTAGTAAAGGTGGGCGGCGAAGGGACATAGCGCTAGCTTACCACAATCATTCCGAGGTGCCTACACCTCCAGACACTCCCTCAGGCGATCTGGATAGGAACTGACAAAAAGAACGCCACTGACATCGGTTGGTAGTCACATCTTGTAGTGTCTCCAGCCAGCCACAGTGAGGACGCCCAAGGTGTCTCAAATCAGCAAACGCGGCCCGAGCCTTGCAGACTCGTGCATTGACCTCATCTGTCACACTACAATCAGAACTAATACAACTTCCAAGATACGTAAAATGCTCCACCACTTCCAATGCCTCTCCCTGGATTGTAAATGACATGTTCAGTGACTGCACGTCCACAAGCATGACCTTACACTTTATAGGTGCAAAGTGCATACCAAAGGACGGGATGACTTTGCTCAGTTCATCCAAGAATACTTGCGCCTTCTTCTCCTCTTCGAACATGAGAACGATGTCGTCTGCATATTCTAGAACAAGGTTTTCTTCACATGTGATGTAACGTTTTCAAATCCTTTGCCAAGCTTGGCGAACAGATCAACAGCCACCAGGTCAAATACCGATTCCAGCAATTAATAACTGCCTTCTCTGGACAGGCTGTCCACAGCTAGGGACACTGCTCTGACCTACAAGAAAGCAATGTCAACCTGAAAGAAACTACTCACAAGGATGCTGAAAACAGCCTACGATCTGTTTCACTTTTCTAGAGCCCCATCGGGTAGGCGCGGTCACCGAGTTTTCGTCAACTTGATGTACCAGTTGGACACAGATTTCAGGAACCCCGACAAATACACCCATCTATATTATTTGGTTTCTACTCTAGATTCGCAAGCATCCAAGCTAAGCTTGATGTTCTTCTTCGACTGAATGTGCCAGACCAGGTCGCCTAAAACTTCATTTTGTACGGCATTCAAGGGGTCGCAATGCATTTTACAGATTTAACAGATTTAGCTATTCTCGAGATTGCTAAAAACCTTTCGACAAATCACGACCAGCATTTTCTTCCTTGGGGCTCATAAGGTACGTGTAGCATCCGAGTTTTCGCTAACTTTATTTTGATGGTTGTCGGGTGTTGAAGACTCTTCGGGGAATCTTGTGATTAGTTGCACGCATAAAAATATACTGAATGTGGCACCAAGTAAAAAATGAGACAGCCTGGTTCAGCGCATTCAGCTACGGAACCTCATAAGCGATTGATCCAGCTGGGATTCGGGTGAGCCGCGCGAAAACCAAATTGGTTTGCAACCTACGGTATTCTTCGAAAATATCTTCCGGGCTGATGATGACAACATAAGTAGGATGTGCAGACCTCGGTTAAGACAAGTGCAGTTTACACCTCCAGTCGCATGGGTGGGTGAACGCCTGCATTCTCCATATATTTTCAATGTTCTGTCAACAAGCAGCGCAATGAACTTTCTATCGAGTGGAAGTACACAGGCAAACGCTGAGCCGTTCCTCTTGAATGGGCTATATTTTTGATGACTTTGGCAGACGACCCGACGGAATTGAGAACTGATAGCTGGTTGACAGCGAATTCAGTCATTAACCGAACTGATTGTAACTCCCATTCAAATCTAGCGGAACGGACATATCAAACTGATTGTGGTCAAAAGCTCGCATGACTCGGTAACGATAGATTCTAGAGAGCCTCAGTTTTTATGGGCGCTGTGAATGAATATGGGCTGCTGTGGGTTGCGGAATCTGTGCTGTCCTCATCCCAACCATAGATGGCTGCAAGCTGCATTCGATGAGCTAATGTTGCATTGAGTTTCACCCGTCCCTGAATGAACCACCTGCTCAATCAGTCAAGTAGTTGTATAGGTTTCATCTAAAGCACCAGAGTTTGCGTTTCTCAACAGATACACTGGAAATTAAGTGGAAAATGGAATAAGTGTTTGACCTTCTGAAGCAATTGCTTCAGTTGATGAGTAGATGGTATTACGGTGAGAGAGGTAACGAGATCAACAACACTGCATGCCACTTGGGAGGATGTTGGGGATTCCTGGTTGTTCGCCTCTTTTCAAAGTTGTCCATTTAGGGTGCAATCAAATGGTTCAGATCAACAAATGGATCACCTGTCACTGCCTAAGAGTATCGGCCTGCGTGCGTAGATCTCATTTGGTCAACTTTTCCTTGGAAATTGTGATGCTAGAGTCATAATTTTGCAAAAAGCGAACTGCTGCTGGCGGTATTTTGCAAAAAGCGAACTGCAGCCATACAAATCTATTTTGGCGGTCTTTTCGAAGTTATTAGGATTAACTTGTTTCCCGGCTTCGCCGTTAGTGTGTGTCACTTCAGTGTTACTCTCAATGGAATAAGTCCCTAGCCGCCCACATTCAACGCGAAACCGCTTACTCGGTTTATCATGGTACGGCAACCGCTCAGCATGCCCATCGCCCTCCCGATGCACTACACTATCTACATCACTAGCTTTGAGAAAACTAATTCTTCGACCGTGGTTTTTGTAGAATACAATCTCTTAAATATAAATTTCACGATGGTTACTCGATGTGGAGTCTGTGTCCACCATTGTCCACATATCAGTTTCACGTTGCCTGATCATTCGTTAATGCCTTCATGAATGAAACCAAACACGACTATGTGCCTGGGAGTCACGAAGAGATTGGACTTTATCGTGGTGTGGCGGTTTGTGTACCTCGGAGACCCATTGAGCTAGACTGGGGAGGGTTAGCACGATGCTCACAGAGTCTCACCAGGTCGGTCCATGGGTAGAGGTCCGACGAACACAGTCTCCTGGCCCTCCAGGTTGGGGATTGGAACATGTGTGGCGACGTGTACCGTAAAAAATGGTAATGTACTTGCATTTCCAGCCGAACACCGCTGCCTTGTGGTTAGGCTTTTGAGCCAAAGGCTTTGATTGAGGACCCTAATCGTCCTCCTGTCTAGGTGCGGGCGCCCTGGCAGTATCCCAGCCCTCGTACAACCACGACAGTACGGCAGTAAAGCATCAGTGACAACACTGATGTTGCTGGCTTTGATGATGATGATGATGCCTGGGAGTATGTGAGAGAGAAAAGATGGCTTCCAGAGGTCATTCAGCTTGCTTTTTTAGCGCAACGGTAATCTTGTACATATAGATGAGCTCTTGAATTCTCTTGAATTCTCGAATTCACCCCCCAAGACAAAATCCCTATAGAATCAGCTCAGATAACGTAGCGTCACACTGCCGCCAGAATCTCCAAGAAATTGGCTGTACCGTTTTGTTTTACTTTGCGAAACGTGCGTTTGCGAATTTTGGCGATAAAGATTAGCAGTTCATATCGATCGAATGGAAATAAGGTTGAATGTAAATGAACTGGGAACGATGCTATCACAAGAGCAGCTCACACCACATAGAAGGCCAGAGATATCGAAAGTCTCCATATTTGTCTAGAAAGGCCTAACTCACGGTGAGCGTGATTGATCAGTGTTCGTCTGACTGCTGGTCCATATCAGACCAGTGGTAGTGGCGCGGGGATTATGGCCTCTACTATAAACGAAGATGATTAGAGAAGCGCAGGCGTTTGACAAGTGAACGCACATGCCGGTTCAAAACACACTGTTCCTGGTGATTTGGTTCTTTGTCAGGTCTGAGTCTGTGGCATACAGTGACTGCGGTGAGTGTTATCACGACCCGGTATGACTAACATGGAACCCAGTGTCCCCTGAATGTCGTTTATACTAAGATATTCGACTCTGGTACGTAATTTCGTCTCAAATAACTCACGTCACCGTAGCCACTTGATACCTTCAAACACACGCTGTTGTCTTTGACACAGTCATACTCTCTAACTGCCAAGATGTGCCAAACTAATTTGAACATCTATTTTATACAGGATCCCTGGTACCGGTTTACTCAGTCCGCCTCGAACCTTGCACTGCAAAACCGTGTGAGCTGGTCAGAGGGAGGGAAACTACATTTCGAATCGAATTTCAAGCAGGTGAGTCGACCTCTTCACAAATTGCCATGTTGTTAGTGTAGCTGTGTCCCACGAGGGTAGAACTTTGTGCTTGCGTTGATCCATACGTATGCGAGAAACGTTTTTTCCACAATTTTCCGGCTGTTCAGCTGCTCTTCGAAGATGTCAGTAGTCACTGAACGCTCTAAATTTCGTTCCAGTAGATTGTTGTTGCCTGAAAGTCAAAAAAGTGTTGATTCTTTTTGAGTAATCAGTTGTTTTTGTCACATAACATTCTGTTGCTTGGAGTGTGCTAAATTTGCTATAATTTTCTCGTACTCCGTGTGCGAGTTAAACATAGACTATACTGGCAAGATAAACTCCTTTGAAAGCCTGGAGCCCAGCTGAATCTCTTGTTTATAGCATTGCTTAAAAAACAAATCAGCTTGCAAAAAGTGTATTTCGCTAATTTCGTGCAATTTGGGTGAACGTTGAACAAAAAATTGACGAAAACTCGGGGAATGCGCCTACCTGAGCAGTTCCAAGATGAGCGAAAACGGTCGTGTGCTGCCCAAGAGTTTTCAGCAACCTTATGAGTAGTATATTGCATCTATGGACTAGGCAGACTCAGCACAAAACAACCCACCTGGTAGCTCATTAGAACGCCACCAATACTGTATGGCTACTGATGGTTTTTCGGATCAAATCAGCTGCATGGGTTTGACAGTGAATTTTTTGTCTTTGTTACTTTGCAGACCGGAATTCAGGATCTCCTAACCATGCAGAGGGATATGGAATTTTTAATGGAATAGCTGTTCCATTCGAATTGAGCAAGACGCAGATCTGTGGAAACGTCTATCCAAACTGTCCACTTCAACCGGGAACAAAGTACATTTTTACGAAGGCGGTACACATCTCTGAGTGGCATCCGAAAGTTAGTGGTAGCAGTTTCCTGATTTTTCAGCCAACAGTAAACACACTCGCCGAAAATAAGAGCTGGTACATAACCTTCCGCTGACGCGGAAATTGCTAAAAACAACTCAACCTTTCCACATACATGCACGGACGCGTGTAGGCAACCTCTCTTTCTTTTGAGTCTCTTCATACCTCTTCTTGGGTATGCTGAAGATCTATACAAACGGAACGAGAAGCAACTTTGGTTCATTCCGTTCAAGAACAGTACGAACAAACTCTGTCACGTGATTGTCACTTTGACTGGCCAATAGGTGTTACGTAGGCCCTGTCCAAATTGACATAATCTCACCATATTGGATGCTCAAAAAATTGTGTGAAATTGCTCCCTGCCATTTCTCTGTGCCTTCCAGATGGATTTGGACTTCCGTTGGATACTTCGGAACTCCGATGGGTTAACCCTCGTCTGTGTGGACATACCAGTTCAGATAGTGTAGCACTTTGTTCGCGATCAGAGTTCAGAATTTTGCGTTCTATATCAGTTATGCTTCTTCGGCGTACATCCCCTGTAAAAATGAGCCACCGTTTGGGCTGGGTATGCTTGATTGCTAATAAACAATCAAATATGTTCTGTTCTTTTTCAACCAATTAAGCCCCGA